GGCATAATAGGGAATTTTTTGGGCATAATAGGGTAAAGTCAGGAGCATCTGAGAATAGCATTATATGCAATTTTTTAGCATGTGCCTGTCCCTAAATATGGCTATGGAACCTGAACTGAACACTTTGTTTTTGCCTAATTATTCAACATATCTTTCAGGAATTAAAAGAATAACATTTGAAGAATTTCTTCCCATTCTCCATGCTGTGGCCCAGAAGTGTCCGAAGAAACCAAAACCAGAAGAATTTTTTGAAGGATTAAAAGTATTTGATAAAGATGGTTATGGTGTTGTACTGTCTGGTGAATTACGACAGGTTTTGACATCCCTAGGTAAACTACAGTACATCTTCACGACTTCACATTTTAAATGTGGATTTGATTCCTGAAAACGACCTTGCACTCAGCAAAAAAGTGTACTGTACATAGAAAATAGAATCTGTCAATCTTTAGGTGACAAACTTACTGATGACGAATGTGATGTCTTGTTCAGGGAAGTTGAGGATAAGAAAGGAAGAATTAATATTGAAGGTAAACTATCAAATACAGCCTAATTGTAGCCCTGTTGTATGAGGACTAAACATGTATAACACTGTTGTGTACTGTAGGACCACCCAGTCATTTCTGCTTCTACTTGGTAGTGATATCTAGCTACGGTGCTGCAGAATAAAGCAGAATTGAAAGTAATTCAAATGAGGAATTGCTTGTTTTGAAAATAAACGTCTCAATCATAATATTGACTGGATTCCATCCACACTGACTGCTTTGCATGTGTCATTAAAAAGACAAAGCTTTCCAGTTATCTGCATATGCACAAATTGTACGAAGAGCAATCAAGAACAAAAACTGGGGTCCTACAGTTGTATATACGCACACTATACAGCATGTATAAAAAAAACTGAACAGATTTGAAATTGCTCTTGAAATTGCTCTCGCTATTCGTATCCGGTTTTTTATATATATAGCTTCTTTGGGTATTTATAATGTAGAATAATGAAAAAAATTTCTCGAACTTAAATTTTGTGAACCAGGGGGGGGGGGGGGG